TACAAATGTACATGTCTTATTTTTATAACGTCAGTTTAACTAGAAACACAGATTAATCTGTGAGTAGGAGGTTGAAAAATAAAATCTGGGAATTAAAAGCAAAATATGATAGATCCGAGAATGTTTAATAATAAATGCCGAGAGTTGAATTTAATATGACAATTATCACTGCTTTGTAACGAGAGGCGAAAATAATGACAGTTTAAACGGACGCTCTAAATCGTCGTTATAAAACACGAAAGAAAGCCTCGGTAGCGAGGAAGCCCGACGTGTCCGCTTCGTACGCGCATTATCCCCGATGCCTGCCTCTCCGCGTGCGTGCGTGCGTGCATGCGTGCGTGCGTGCATGCGCCCGTATATATGCATTCGTGTGTGCGTATTCTCCTCTCCTTTCTCCGTCGCGTCTCTACGCACTCGACTCCACAGTCCACGCACCGCCGAGCGAGCGAGCGAGCGGGAGTCTGCGATCAATGCGTGGCACTGCCACCGGTCGTCATGGCAACGAAGCGCGCCACGCACAACGAGCGAACGATCCGCGTCGATCGTGCGTAAGTGCGTGCTCGGGGCGCGCGCGCACACGCACACGTACTCGTACGCGCGCACGCACGCACGTACAGACGGCCTCCTGCGACGTGTCCGCGACGAGACTCGCGAAAGACCGCGTGCAGAGAACGATCGATGGCCCGCAAACTTGACGACTTGTACTACGAGCACGTGGCACGCGACGAATCTACGCAAAATCACTCTCTCGCTACATGTTTTCAATCTTTTTTATCGATACTTTTTATAGGTAATTTGGATATCATTCAATGATAAATAAAGTCGTCTTTAAAATATATTTAAGTCAGATACGCGTCGGACGCCTAAGCATGTGTCGAAGACAACAAAATAGACAATAATAAACAACTTGTAATCAAAATAAGGCTCTAAATATTAAAGTGTCAATAACTGTTAGAACCGGGTAAATAAGAGCCAAGCGCTGGATAGAAGGCGCCAAAAAAATTATATATATTTTCTTAACTGCAAAATAGAATTTTTATCATTGACTAATGTTTGTTTATGTACGCGGTATACATTTCCTTGATTCGAATAATTATTTTCAATTATCTCTTTTAGAAGACCGGCCTCTCGCGAGTCGTATATCTCTTTAACTCACGAATACGAGTATTATAGGTATATACTTGATCCTAGAAGATTTTGCGGATTCACGCGCGACAAAAGTTGCGCAGGTATCCCCCCCAAAATTAGCGGTCGACGACACGGCTCTTTTTTTTTTGTGGATTTTCTGGTCTATTGTGTCGACAGCTGTCCCGAATTTTCTGCCGGCTTTTCGCCGCATACTTTAATTTTTCAAACATATGTCTTGTAAGGTACATGTCTCGTTTCGCGATGTTCACAATCGCAAAGTAATTATACTCTTTTTTATTTCACAATCTGTAAAATCTTCTGGCAATTTTTATTCCATTATATTTTATTTATAGATAGAACATTTAAAAGCACTATATAGGTAATTATTAATTTAATAATAATTTCTGCTCGCATCAACATTACTGACATAAGAAATTAAACGATAATATATAATATACTGAGATTTGGGAAATAGGCGGTAGGAAGAGGGGGAAAGCAACAATCAAAGAGGATAATGTACAGAAATTGTCCTGATACTTTGCAGCCACAGGCGCAACCACTCGCGGGAATGACGACGTCAGGATGCGGCAGATGTTCCTAACGAGCCTTAGCGAGAGAGAAAGTATCGATCGAGTGATATCGTTACGATTATGTTGTCCATCATAATGAAGATAAGTTTACGACTTTGACGTGAGAAAAATAATTGCGCCTTGCGTGATGCATTGTAATCGCATCTTATGCATTAATGCTTTTCATAACTTATTGTTGGCAATATTCGCGACTACATATTTATGCGAATCAGTGTATCATTTAATTAAGAGTGATTATTCCTTGAACTTGAATCACTGCTTAAACTTTATTACAGATTAATACGAAAGACGTAGAGGTATAAAAAAATGTAGTAGAATATATCAATTTCTCGCTTTCCTCTTAGAAAAATGTCGAATGTCCTACTACTCCGATTATTACCCCATCGCAGAAGGCGGAAAAAAGAGCATTTAAACCCTTTTGGTTGGGGTAATTCAGTGGCAGGCCACTACATCGAAGATGGCACGCGTTAGGGAGAAAGGTAGGAGGGGGTTGGGCGACCCCCAATTCGCTCGAACACCTAGAGTAACCCCTGCACCCTCGCACTGGGGTTCTTCGCAGATGAATCCACCGATTCTCGGGCTATAGCGCCATCAGGAACACACGCAAGGTGTTATACACGTATATGATAAATTTCATGAAGAATTTCACACATCGATTTTTAAATCACGGGATTTAATTACATGTGTGTGTATTCTATATGTGTATCTCTTTCACTTGTAAAGATTTTAATTAAAATGATACAAGTTATTTGAAGAAGAGATTTGATAGCGCGATTAAAAAACGGAAGAGCTATCGTGCCGTGAGAGTAAATTTTCCAAAAAAGATTTCTTTCTCTCTCTTCCATGGTCCAGGTGATCCTCACAACGTCGAAGAGCAAAGGGCGAAGGGATTTTGTACAGCGAGAGACGGGAATACGAGGGACGATTTTTCATTTTTCGATGCCCACGAAATACCGACAATGGACGCGTGTCACGCAACGTTGCAGCTGCTTTCGCTACTGTATTTGACGCAATACGGCACACACATGGCGCAAGATTGTCCCGTAAGATCGAAATATACGAATAACCGAACCTTCCTCAATCGATTCTGTTTCATCGATGTGCATCGGTATCGAATTGATATTTATTAAGATTCGCGACCAAACGATTGCCATATTGATATGCATTGCATAAGGATAGATTTTGATGTTTAACTTTATCATGAAATTTTGAGAAATTTAAAATTTAACTAAAAAATTTAAACTGAATTTTTCTTTTTAATATCTTTTTAACAAAAAATACATGAAATCAAATTGTTAGCCTGTTTCATATATTTTTATATAAACATGACATTTTTATATAATAATATGATAACAGTTTTTAGTTCTGTATCGAATGTTCGACTAGTCGAAGTTAAAGGTCAGGTAGGCAGTCGTGCTCCACAGTTTCAGTTTCAGGAACGCATCCCAAATCTAACTCGATCGATTAACAATGCTGAAATTCCACAATACGCGAAATATCCAGAGACATTTTGTAGAATTATTATTAAATACTCTCTAGTATCCTAAATACTCTGGAAATCAGATTCAAATTTGATTGTAACTCGCGGAAATAAAAACGCGTTTTTCGAAAGAAATAATTAGGGCGAACATCCTTGTATTGAGAATCGCTGCTCGTAAAATGTCTGATGGACCACCGAAGGTACCTAAGCCATAGCGCTTCCTACCTACCTGGTTTCGATAAACTGATTTATTTCGACATCATTGTGATCTCTCCGGGCAGCATCTGTCCTCCGGAATTTCATGCGAGACTGCAAGATGGCCGATGCCGCGTTGACTCTGCTGGACGCGTAAAGACTCGATTCACTTTTTGCAAGCAAGACTTGATCGAGTACAACGCTTGATCTAGTTAGGGCTGGAGGTGATTTATCAAGCGGCCACATCATTACGAAGGGACACCACATCCGCGTACTGCGCGATCCTTCGTCCTTCCATCGAAAGAAGAATACGTATTAATTTATATCTGCATGCGGCCGCTATTGTAATGTTAATCGGGTCTCCGGGTATTAGCTTAAAGCTTTTCGGCGATACGTGCGTGCGGTTCGCTCTTCCCAGCCGCACGCACGAAAATCGAGAGACAACCGACAGTGGGGATCTGGGAAACTCGGGCAGAAGGGCTTTTCGGGATGAACTTGGCCCTGGGCCACTGCGATTCGGAGATCGCTTTGATTGCGTGACCATATGTATATTATAAACGATATTAATGCTCGAATTAATTAACTGATATTTGAAAATCAGATACATATATACTTATTAAAATTATATTTTCCGTTGAAAATATAAGATCATGATTGTACGATATTTTTCTTTTAGTTTTTAACAATGAATAATTTGCTGAATTCGATCCGAACTCTTTGAACGTGAGATTCGGATTCTCTCAGGCCGTTTAACATTTGGTTTTACTAATACAATAATCTAAAAAAACGAATGAATGTGCCCGCAGCGAAAACGTATGCGCGCGATATACGTTGAAAAAATTACGCCCGTATATCTGCGTCTTGTGTATGAGAATATCTTGGATAAACATCTTGTTACCCTCATGAGAAATCGGCGGCGTAGAAGGCGCACACGAAGATCGAAGATCTTCGCGCCTGAAGAAATATGACGAAAATTATTATCGCGCAATACATTTCAACGTGTTCCCGAACGGAGCCGGGTCACACTTGCTCCATTTACCACGAAACGTTAACGGGCGCGTGGCTTTTCGGCTTCTGATATCGTTCGCTCGAGGGGGCGGAAGGTGAGAAATTCGCGGGAAGGGTTACCGAGGATGTCTTTCGCCCCGGGGCCCGAAAAGTCGTTGATATCGAATCCAGGAGGTCGCTGAAATAAATCGTTAGCTCTAGATAGAGGGGAAGGGGCTTCCCCTAGGGTCGCGATTGGTTGCTCGGGGATGAAAGTACCCGAGGCCTAGCTACGTTTTACGAGCTCTTTTTTTTTACGAGTCCCGGAAAAGGAACCGAGTAACTCGCAAATTGGAATGTAATTTCGCAGAAAAGGAAGGTGCGAGCGTGACCAGTTGTGCACAAAATTTCGTCAGTCTCCAGATCACTAGAAAATCGGAGATCCGAGAATATAAATGGAAAGAAAGAAAATACTTAAATTTAGGCACATATATATCTCAGCCTTAGATAAGTCATACGGAGCTCTTCTCTAGCAAAAACTTTAATGATTATTTTTATATACATAATTAATACAAAGCATTGTTCTCTTAATAATATGCGTCATTTTCTCGAATTTATAGAGCAATGCCCTCGGAGGGGAAGGTCGCGGTGGCCGGCGGAATCCTTGAAGAACATCGAGGACTAACTTGACGAAGACCACCCGGAACGAAGAAGAAGGAAGCTACTCGAGCAAAGCAGGTTCGTAACATCCCCTTGTCGCTCGCTCGCTCGCTCGTTCGTTCGAGGGGTTGCGACGCGCGTGCGCAATTTGCAACCCCATCCGCCGGCTCCTCCCCGAGCCTGTCCCCCGGCACCCTACCCCGTCCCGCGGCACACGTGCATCGGCGATCCCGCTTCGCGAGAGAGCCCAACGAGATCGCGCCGTCCTCGTTCTCCCTCCGCGTTACTTCTCCCCTTCTCGTCCCCCCGCCGACGATGGTCCTGGGCCAGGTCCTGGGTTCCCGCCATGGCGGGCGGGATGACAGCCGACGAGTGCCGAGCGCGGCCGAATCGCGCTCAAGACGAGCGGACGAAACGAGCGGGCAGCTGTGAACGGGCGAGTGAGCGAGCGAGTCCGCGCGTTATATACGCGGACACGACAGACAAAGACTATTACTAATCGGAGTGTACCACGGTGAGCGCGCGGCGGATACACCGCACTCGGCACGGGGCAGCCCGCCAAACCAAAGGTAGATAGGCAGTTTCGTTCGTTCCGTCGTGGGCCAACGAGCGGCCGGCCGGCGCGACCGTGTCCCTATCGTCCAACGCGCGGCACCCAGCGGGTACGCGGTATGAGGGAGCGGTGCGTCTGTATGAGTGCTTGAGAGGGAGAGAGAGAGAGAGAGAGAGAGAGAACCGTTGCGCGTATAGAATTAGGAAGTAAAGCGGCGTGAGTGGTGGTGCGTGGATCGGTAATCTGTGACCCTGTGAAAGACAAAGAAAATGTAAAGAGGAAAACATGTTGGATTTAGAGTACGGCGGGGTAAAATCTAGGCATCCCCGAGAATTCGTCGGAACTTTGCGATTACACCGAGCTTGAAGTTGAAAAAGAGTGAGGGAAAAAAAGATCAAGTATACAGGATTGTGCGTGAAAAGAGTTTATACATCGACGAATTGATATTCGTAATACGCTCTCCGCATCCGTTGTCGAGGAATCGGAGAATGCTGCTCTCCGCCGCGCGCGGTTTCTATTGACGAAACACGGCTGCATGTTTCAAAGTAGCGCGAGAAACGCACTGCAACCGCGCGACGGACAACACAATGAGGGAGTGCACGGAATCGCTCGTCTTTTCCTTCGGCTAACTTCGACTCTACTCGCTGCCTGGAAGAGGAGGAAGGACAAGCGGTGGAAAGAAGAGGAAGAATAGGGTGAGTGTATGCGCGCGCGACACAACACTCTCCTTCGAAGCGAGAGGTGTGGCGCTCGAATTTTGGATAATCATGAAAGATCCGTAGCTTGATTTTAATCGTGGTTAAATAAAAAATTTCCCTTAAGACGAGATACGATCGAGAAACGATTTAAAAGCCAGACTATGATCGGCGGAGTATCGAGATTTCGGAGAAGAAGATCGTTTCGAGATTCATCCGAGTGCTCGTAAAGTAATACGCGAGAGCGAGCGCGCATCCCCCTGTAAATACGTATCGGTAGACAAGGCCGTCGCCGTCGGCGCGCGTTACGTCAAAATATCCACGGGGACGTCGCGAATGACGCGAAAGTTGGGAGCCGCGCCGTGATGCGTTTTCGCCGTTTCTCTCCGTTCCGTGGAGTCCGTGCTCATCAGCATCGCCATCACCAGCGAAACCACCACTACCGTCGCACCACCACCACCACCACCACCACCACCACCACCATCGTCGTCGTCGTCGTCGTCGTCGTCGTCATCGCTAGGCACCAGTGGCATCGTCGCAACCACCACTACCCGCCGTTACTACCACCACTGCCGCAGCCGCCGTCGCCGTCAACGCCTCCTGCGCTAGCCGGCGGCGGTGCACGGTAGTGTCCTCGAACACGGCATGCACGTATCGTGCTGCGAAAGTTTTACGGGTCTCGCGGTGCGTCAAACGAGAAACGTGTTCGTGTGCCGACGCCGACGCCGGCGTCGTCGTCGAGGCGTGTGAGAACGTGGGACAACGACGAGTCTGGCGCGTCCCAACCCCGAAAGAAATCCGCTTCTTCCTAGGCTCGACTTACGCACGCAGCGTGCGCGCGTGTCTGTTGGTGTGCGTGCGTGCGTGCGTGTGGGAAACAGGTTCTTATAACCACGCATTACACCGTTTCCGTCAGCGGCTTTTATTTCGGATAGTAGCGACGGAGGACCCGGGGTGTCCTATCTTCCCTGCCTGCGCGCCATCGTCTTTCGTTTAAATTTTCACTTTAAGTACGGCTCGTGTATTCGTGCAATTCGCCAATGCAAAATTTATAAATTCGTATTGATACACTGCTTTACTCAAATGCGAATGCATGCGGAACGATTCATGCATATCGTTCTGACAGAAATAATCCGCAAAGCCATCCAAACTGGATTATTACGATCGTTTATACGTAGAAATGTCAAAATCAGTTTTATTTCTTATAACTGTCAACAGCTAAAGACTGAGAATTTGTCATTATCAATCATGTGATGATGCCTTTAAAAATCGATCGATATTATATAGTTTTTAATTGAAAAATTCCATTTCATTCATCTGTGCAAATGCACGAGTGTATAACGTAATTTGCTAGTAAAAATTATTTAAATAAATTTGCTACAAACTACACACACAGGTAGATAAATAAGAAAAAATATCTTCAACACCGTTGCGTCGTTTCAAATAGAGTTAACTTCTTGATGATAGTTCTTTTTCGTGATTAGGGCATGCGAAAGAGAGAAAAATATTTTTCGACTGTTCTCTCTCTTTCTCTTTCTCTCTCGAATGACACAATAAGACGAAATCGAACAGGACGGATCGAAGAAACGAATGATCGATGAATATCAGTGAGAGAGAGGAACGAACAACGAAAGATTTACGAGTCAATTCTTTGCTTTACATTTAACTTATCCGATTTTATGCTCGACGTTTTCTATAGTCGATCGATTCACCCGTGTATATAACTTTCTGTTAAATAGATATACATATATGACTCACACGGGAATTTTAATGCATTTTAATAATTCGACAAATCGGTGCCGCGATATCGATGCTGCCAACAGTTTGTCAATTTAATTTGACATCTAATCAATTATTCTCCATTCGGTTTCGATCGCGTTTTTTGGAGCATCTTTTCAAATTGCTTAATTAAATGTCTAAATCGCGCATTATATGCGTCTAATACGTTCTTACCTAATAATTCTTATAAAATGTTAATATTTTAATTTAAAAAGGAAAGAAAAAAGGGAAGCGATTTTTTTTTCACGATTATTCTACGATCGTTCACGATTATTCGACCGCGTAATATTTTTTTTTCCACGCAGCACTCTTTTTCGAGGCCCGTGCGTAGGCTCGGACGTCGTTGCGCGCATTAATCCGTGGTTTAGCGAACCAATTTAAATATCAGCGGCGCGCTCGACGCAATTTTATATCATTTCCGATATCGCGCGTCTGTGTGGGTGGGTTTAACGCTGCGAAAGCTCTCCTGTCCCCTCTGCTGGCCCCCGGCTCCCTTTCCCCCTCGTACGTCCTCGCTGTCCCCCTACCCTTAACGCGAACCGTTACGCACCTACACCAGATATGCGTGTTTTACGATGCGTGTCGTCGCGCACTCCATCGCCTTCTTCATCGTAGTCCTCCTTGTCGTCGTCTTCGTCATCTTCGTTGTCGATTCTCGTCGTCGTACCTCTCCTCGTCATCGTCGTTTGTAAACGAGCGTGTGACCGGTCTCTCGTACGCGACGCTCGTAACGTCGTCACGACGTACTTTGCGGTATCTTGTGAGAGAGAGAGAGAGAGAGAGAGAGAACACGCGCATGCGCACGTGCACGCACTGATGCATACAGGGTGGCCCGTCTTCGATTTCGAGTTTCATTCGGTATCAATGCCGAGCGATATCGCCGCGATATGGATATCTCCCATTCATATTTCGATCTCTCTCTGGATTGAAGATCGACTCCAAGTCCCGGTCAAAGAGACGTTTGTCGTTAGAAGGAAAAAATTCGGCCGACCCGCCGATCAGTTTTCGTCGACCGGAGAGACAGGCCCACCAGACACCCTGTATATGCGCACACGAAGAGCGCGCAGCCGGCCGGCCGGCGAGCGTGCGTGCGTGCGTGCGTGCGTGCGCTGGCGCGCGAATCAGTGCGCGGCCGAATGCGTCGCGTATGCGTGCGCGCCGTCAAACGATTTTCACCGCGACCGATCTTTTTTTTTTCGTGCGTGCGTGCGTGCGTGCGCTGGCGCGCGAATCAGTGCGCGGCCGAATGCGTCCCGTATGCGTGCGCGCCGTCAAACGATTTTCCCCGCGACCGATTTTTTTTTTTTTTTTTTCGCCGTGTAGAAAAAGATCGGTATAGTCGTCGGACGTCGCGAGTTCGAGAGCGATACCGCGCCTGAAATTGGACAGCAACAAGTGACACTTGGTCGATTGGACAATCCGTGGTGGACGCAGCTGTCAATTCTCTCCCACCCCCGTGGTCGTCTGTCCAAACGCGGGATAGATCCCCCCGATGTACGGCTCGCGCGGTTTCTTTGTTTCCGCGATGCATTCGTTCGGTCGGATCCGTCCGCGACTGCGGTCGTGAGAACCAATGAAAGGTCTTGGGAAGGGGGAGGAAGAACTGTTTCGGGGGTTCATTAAGTATCGCGGGGAAGTCGAGTTCGGTAAAAGTAATTACGCGGAAACGATCCATCCGATCAATTGCGGTCGAGCGTTAAGAAGAGCCAACACGAACGTATAGCTATAACTGTGTGTTGCAGCCGGACCTCTGAGGTAGGTCCCCGCTTAATCTCTGTTGTGGAAAATATACAATCGTCCTAAAGAGATTCGTAAGAAAGATTCGCGTAATTGCAAGTAGTAAAATATCCGTCTTCAACCGTCGACAATCTTCATTTTCCGCTGTCGATGCGTATCGTTGCCGACAATGTCACTATTATCGCGCCATTTCCATCGATCATCATTGTGGACGTTGTATATAAGTCATCGTCATTAGCCATCCGCGACGCTCGGAGAGAATCGGGCGAGTCGAAATCTAATAATAAACGCATCTTCCGTCCGTTTCCGTCGCTCCAAGGAGTTCGCCGTGCTAGCTTTTAAGAGAAGGAAGAGGGCAAAAATGAGCGCGCGAGAGGCAGAGACCCGCGAGCAAAAAAGGGAGCTTCGGCGGGTACACACTTTCGCCGACCTCGCGATGCCGGGCGCGTTCGGCCGAGAGGAGCTGTGTGTTCGGCTCTCTCGCGACAAAGGCCGCTTGCTTGATTCAAGGTCCCACGGATGTGCACGCGCACACGCACCGGCCCTTCGCGCGGCCCATTCGTCCGCGGCGTAGAGTTTCTTCCATGTGCGATATCCCTTTCTTGTAAATCGTCTATAAAATCTCAGCCAGCATGTGTTGAATCACGTAGATAAGAGGAAAAATTATTTCATCATTTTACGTATACGAAAATTTCCTCAAGTTCCCGAAAATCTTTCTGATTTCTTCACTTTCTCTCGGATAGTTTGAGAATTGGTTCGCAAAAAAAATTCCGGAGTCAATATTCTCCGTAATATACTCCCAGTTTAATTCCCTTTGAAACGGATGAAAGAGTTTATGAAATCTCTAGCAAATTCTCGAAAGGTTCGACTCCACTTGGACACTTGAAGATCATCTGTCTTCTTCTCTTTGTGTGTTAGTTCGTTTTCTCGCGATGGCATCGCGCTAATTTCGGCATTACGCTGCGGCAAAAATGGTGCGCGAATCATTCTACTCTTTTTCTTCTCGACGCACGAACAAACAGTACGCCTGTTGATGCATGCTCACGTTTCAAAAACTAGGCTGGAGTTAATAACGACAGAGGTACTATCGTTTCATGAATCAGTAGCTTACTGTTCGCAATTGCTTCATTTAATCATAAAAGTTTTTACCCTTGAAAAACTATTGTTTTAGCAATCTTAGGCAAGAAATTTATAAATTAAAATTAGCCGGAAATCTGAAAATCGTGCGTGAGAACGTTTGTTGCGTTAATTCGGGGGAATTTTGTCGATGAATAGGAATTCAACTTTGTGAATCGAAGAGCGGGTGCGATTTTTCTCGGCGACGTTTCCGTTAGCGACGCACGGCTAATATTAATTCCAAGCGTGTGGAATCTCCGGGTCTCTATGGCAGCTGGTTTATATGCGCTTCTCGGAATTTGCGTTCTGCGCTTCGCCGTGGACGAAAGAATCCGCAAACGACTCGTTCTCTGTCACGACTATACGGAGTGTCCCAAAAAAGTGTCCCATTACTCGTACCTCGGTGCCTATAAATTCTATTCCCAAAGAAAATTAGAATATTTATCAGTATAGTATCTTTTTGATCTCGTTGTGTTAGAGAAGATTGAATGTTGGAATTATCGAGGCAAAATTTATTATGAACTAGTAGAATAACGTCATTTATAGTTTCGTGCTTCTTTATGTTATATATTTATTTTGGAACATGATTCGGCAAATTTTTATTTGAAAATAGAATAGTTAATTGATTAAGTCACACTAATATTCATTCGAGAAAATCAGATTCTCTGTCTTTCAATGAGAGAGAAACTAATAATTCGCATATATTCTTTTAGATCACCCTGTGTATGACGCGCGACGGTGATATTGAATTTTTGTGCATGCACCTACAGTCGATTCGACGAAAGTGCAAGCGGAGGTGGCGGGCTAACGGGTGTCACAACTATTCTTATTATATCCGCGTAATGAAAAATGAGAAATTAGGTTTCGTCGTTTTTAGCAAAACAAATTTCATTTTTAAATATATTTTTTACTGTGAAACTGACTGTTATTTATATATTTTACAACAATGTTTGAAATTTGTCTCGTTGATAGCATAACTTTCTTGAATTTGTCTGTATCAGTATTATTCCATATTTAAATTTTGTATATAATTCCCCCGCCATATACATAATTAATCCATATGAAACAATAGTTTTAAACGAAGAATTATATGCTACCACTTATTGTTAGAGTTTTTGCTAGCGTTACATCAAGATTTGCGACCTTTAAAGACTAAAGTTCGCGATATTCAGCTTAGCCCAAGATTTATGGACATTAGTAAAGTTCAATTGCTGACACGAAAATCCTCCGTACGGTCTTTATACGAAAAATTAGTCAATCCATTTAAGTAAGGATCCGCATAAATAGCGTATTTTATTATATATCCAAATAATCACGGATTTTTAATCAGAATACACCAAATATAATTTTACATTCGCGTATATTAATTATGAAAACAGATTAACAAAGATTGGATCGCAAATTATAATAATAAATATAGTTAATAGACATAATAATAATTATAGTTAATAAAAATTACAATAGGCAATAAACATTAAATTATTGCAACAATGAAGAATGAAAATTAACTTGGGAATAGAATGTTAAATCTTTGCATCGACAAGTATGCATGCGAAGTACATAAATGGTATCACTCACGTGCAGCGCGAAATAGCAGACGCATCTCGGCAAGGTCAAACCAGCGAGCGAAAGTTCTGGCCAAACGACAGTGCAAGTTACCAGCGATAGCGAAAGCGCCGGGCGGTCACAGCTGTAAAGCTATTAGAGTTTGGGGGTGGAAAACGAGGCGGGCGCAAGGGATGGAAAAGCACCCACTATATAGCGAGAGCTACTATCGCGCAGTTTATGTTATATATCCGTGTACTTTGCGAAAGCTCTTCGTTACAGCCGCATGCGCGTGTACATGTCACCTAGATTATATACAGGGTAGTGGAACGTAGAGAGACGAATTTCTATGTCTCACATTTATACAATTAAAGCATAATCCGATTGCAATTATAACAGCATTTCGTAATTTTTGCTTCTTTCACGAACGTCTTATTTTTATCCGCATTAAAAATAATATATCTGGTTCCGTCACATAACAGTTCCGTCCTGTTTTCGCCACCCTATGTAAAAGAGTTTATTCTGTATATATGTATTGGTTGTGCGCCGAGAGAAAAAGAGAAAGGCGGGAAGAGAAGATAGGAAAAAGAGAATCAGTGAGAGAACGAGAGAGTAAACATCGATCGATATTTCGCAGAGGGCTAGTCGGATTTTTGACGATGGTAACGAGACCCTCACGAGCGCGAACAAATATCTTGAAAAGATTAACCAATAATAAAATTGTATCTATATATTTAGATATTTTGGACGCTGATTTTTTCAAGTACATTTGTCATGCATAAGTGCAAAATGAATGAGAAATTTTAATGTTTAATGTTGAAATGTTGTTTAATTAAATATCAAAATATTATATATATATATATATCTTTACTGTATATAATAAAAAATCTAATTTTCTCCACTTTCAAAATTATTCGATTTTTGGACAAGTTTTCGCCGGCAGGACGATACTTGTCATCTTGTTTGTCTCCGATCGAATTGATCTACTCGGAATGACGCGACGAGTTCCAAGCCATCGTCAGACTTCTAAGCAATGTGAATGAAACAGCTAGGCACAACATACGCGAATATCAAAGCGAACGTACAAGAGTTGGTGCGCAAACACACCGAACGTAATAGTAGCCTTGGCTTAGCGATGGTCACGTTATAAGCAACGTCTGTGACACATTCTCACATAGTCTCGCGTCACGTGCTTGCTCACGCTCACGTGACTACACGTGATAATACATTCGTTAATCCGCGCATCTCTTTCTTCTTGTTGATCTCTCACTTTTTATTTTGAGACGCTGATGGATATAATTAACGCCTATCAAACAATCTTTTTTTGTCGTTTGAATAATTTTAATTTTTTTATAAGCGAGATACGTTACGAATATCTGATGGACAAATCTCTCTGTTTTTTTGTTTCAGATCGTACAAATCAACCGCCTTCTAACAAGCCACATTAACCTCAAGTGATTTCTATTTTCTTACGAAGCGCGAAAGAAATATGTAATTAGTATGTTTATATTGACGTAAAGAAAAACCACACAAAAAGAAGATATTCCAAGAGCTTAGGTTCAGAAGAAGACAAAAGATTAAGAGCTATATTATCTAATAAGTGTACAAAATATATCTAACGAGAAAGGGGTGAAGATAAACAGATAAAAATAAACAACTCCGCCAGTGCCAAATCGAGGAAGAAAGCAAGGTGAAAGTGATCGTTTTAACAGAGAGAAACAGAGAGAAGATAGCGAAAGAGTAGAATAGAGTAGAGCAAGATTTATTTTATCTTGGAATAAAGAAAATAACTTTTTAGGCACACAGTGTTATCTACAAATTTCTGAAAAAAAAAAATAGACAAACAAGTGCAAACGTACAGCGGCAGCATTTTAAAAAATAGAAGGAAAGGAAAAACAGAGAGAGAGAGAGAGAGAGAGAGAGAACAGACAAAGTAATACCGTGCGAGAGCAGGACCGTAAACCAAAGAATCTACCATTTTTTTCTATTCATTGAATAACATAATCTCTCGTCAGATGAAATAATAGTGAGACACACACACACCGATTCCTTCGTCAGAGCCGATTAAGAGTTAAGCGAGCCGGCGTCGTTTTGTAGAGGTTTATAGAAATAGCCGTAAAATATAAGTGCATTTTTTAAACTGGACGCGTCACATGACAGATTTTCGCCAAGCGAAAGGAAGAAGAAGCAGACAAAGGGAGGAATCAACCAGATTCGCTTGAATACTCCCAGAGCAACCGATCTACTTCAGTTCGTAGCCTAAACCTGTTGAGTACAAAAAGACACAGAGCTAGAGATATAGATAGAGACAGAGGTAAAGGAAGAAAGAGGAAGAGTGAGAAGTTGAGTGCAAAAAAAA